ACTCCATTGTTTCATGTGTTTGGGAAAGGACTTGAATGTTATTCACGGTGGAATAACATCCAGGATAGAAGCAATGATTAATATTCGCTCAGAAAAGCTGCATGTGGGAATGTAATGCTGCTCAGTGATTCTAACATAATCATTTTCTTCCAGGAACATGTCAGGAACAAAGCAGCTTAGGTGTGGCATCATGAGCATATAAAAGATAAGAAGAAACCCTAAAAACAATTGCATTATAGGTGCATTTGCAGTGACCCTCTTCAGGCAGTACACAGCTTAATCACATTCTTCTGGTAGAAGTTAGATGTTAAGGTCAAGCAAGTTACATACTAAAGTGAGACTGAATAATACGAAAACAACCCCAGACCTCATTTGTCATACAGAAGAGCTGTTTTTCTCTGCTTGGAATGATAAATATTTTGATAAATGTTTTGATTTTTCTCATCTATATAAGGACTGGCTCATATAGTACTTGCCAAATTTCTAAACATTGCCGGGTACATATGATCACAACCATGGAAATGTATCTCCATTTGGAGGTGCATAGGCTACCTTTGAGGCAGAGGGACTGTATGAAATGGATGAACCCAAGTTTGAGTTCTGAGCTTAGTAAATGCCTTTGATCAGGTGTCGCCTCTCAGCCCATTCTATTGTACAAGGGCAGACTATATGTGCAGTAATTAATGAATGCGCAAAGGATGCTAGCTTTTCTGCTGAAAGAATTAATGGGGAGGAGGAAAGAAGGAAAGAGGTAGTAATGACCCAGAGTTGGCAGGGACTTTGGAAGTCTTCTAGTCTTGCTCAAGCAGGAAACCCATTTCAGACAGGTGGCTGCCCAGACTTTTCTTAAAAACCTCCAGTGATGAAACACTCACAACTTCTGAAGGCAAGCTATTCAAGGCAAGCTGTTCTGTTAGGACAGGGGTGTCAAACTGCTGGCCCTTGGGCCGGTTTCATCATACTGGAGCCGCGCCCACCCCATTGCCAGCAATGGCAAAAAAGCTCCGATACATCGTGTGACGTCACATGATGTTGTGAGTTTGACATGTCTGTGTTAGGAAATTTCTCCTTAATTCCAGGTTGCTTCTCTCCTTGATTAGTTTCCATCCATTTCTTCTTGTCCTGCCTTTAGGTGCTTTGGAGAATAGATTGACCCATTCTTCTTTGTGGCAGCCCCTTAGACTGCTATCATGTCACCCCTAGTTCTTCTTTTCATTAAACTAGATGTACCCAATTCCTACAACCCTTCTTCGTGTGTTTTAGCCTCCAGTCCCCTAATCCAGGGCTTTTCAACCAGTGGTACGGGTACCATCTGTGGTACATTGGCACCTGGCAGGTGGTATGCGATCATCCTAGGAAAGTGGTAGCGGGAGAGGGGAATGAGAGTGCCACCGGGTGGGCAGGGTGTCTTGCTCAGCTGTGCCTTGGGGGGCAGTTTTTTCAGTGCCATTGTAACTTCCAACAGTCACTAAGCGAACTGTTGTAAGTTGAGGACTATCTGTACTTTAATCACCTTTTTCCTTTTTTGGTATCAAGTTTTTGACATCTTGCTAGGCGACTGGTGGTACTCGGATATTGCAATATCCTAAAAGTGGTACAATGGGTGAAAAGGTTGAAAAGCCCTGCCCTAATCATTCTTGTTGCTCTTCTATGCACTTTTTCTAGCGTCTCAATGTCTTTTTTATATCCTGATGACCAAAACTGGATGCAGTATTCCAAGTGTGGTCTTACCAAGGCGTTATAAAATGTTGCTAATACTACAAAAAGATTCAATGTTTGAACCATCAGTTCTCCCTCCAGTGGACCAATAGGAGAATAGAAAATGAGGATTCAGAAAGGATCACATTCTTCAGCTCTTGGAGTGAAGATTCCCTTGCTCCTGCTCTGCACAAAAAACATGAGAATGCTTTTCTAATCCATGTTTTCATTAGATGTATGCATTCATCTTTGCAAAAAAGAAACATGTGAGATGATGGAGAGTCCTTTCATTTCTGCTAAAAACCTCAGCTGGCTATGTTGCAGAAAGATAGTGTGGCAGCATATTTTCAAGCAAGCATTTTTCACAATAGCTCTAATCCTGGTTGTAGGTTACATTTTAGAGCTATTATATGTGCATAGGGAACAAAGGAGAGCACAGGCTCACAGGCAGGTAAATCTAGAACTTAATCAATGCAGATTGTATAAGCAGAAGAAATCCACTTGAACTCAGCTCTTTATAAAGAGATTATGAAAATGACTAGAAATATGAGTGGGTAGCTCAGAATTGGGTTTGTTGATTTAGTTGCCAGTATTCTTTCTCTAAAATAGTTCTTCAGCAAGAACTTATTGGTGTTGTTTAGGCATATTAGAGCAGAGCAAAGGCAGTAGAAAATGATTAGCTTAACCCTGTTTATTTATTTATTTATTTATTTATTTATGAGACTTATATACCGCTTTAAGTGCGAGCACTCTCTAAGCGGTGTACACCAGTAAGCAATGTATATATATATTTACATTGCCCCCAACAATCTGAGTCCTCATTTTACCTACCCCGGAAGGATGGAAGGCTGAGTCAACCTTGAGCTGGTGAGATTTGAACCGCTGACCTGCTGAACACAGTCAGCTAAAGTGGCCTGCAGTACTGTTACCCAAACACTCTCCCCCATTGTTCTAATTTCAGATCAAAAAGCCTGGATTAATGCACAGAGATACATGGTTGGAGGCTCAAGTGCCTCCTTACCGTAGTGCGCCCCTCTCTGGCTGAAGAAACAACCAGGGTTTTTTTTTAGCACAAAACACATGTCATAAGAATCTATAGGAAAACATACAAGAATCTACAGAGATTAATAAGTGAGATGAACTTTAGAAATTAGAGAACTCCTCTGCACTTGAGTGCAGCATGAAGCCAGCCTGATTTAGCTCACAGTAAATGTGCATAAGATTGCTGCACAGATTAGTTAATCAGAGTGATTAATCATCTAAAGCCTGAATTGCAAATTGGAATTGCCTCTCAATTTATTGACAATAAACAAAGACTCTAGGATGAGAAACACTTAAAGGGCCTTCCATCACAGCAGGCACTCAACTTGGCTGCTTAAATACCATTAATTCCACTTGCTTCTACAGATACGCCTACCCAACTTCTATTCTGTGAGCAGCAAGGCATTTCTATAGGGACATAATCACTTCTGCCTGTTCTGGATTCTTAAGCAACTCCTTTGGTGTCATAATACACATTTTGAAGTAAAGATTGCAATTTACATGGCACTGAAATTTTCTGATCTTTCCTAACTGCCAATAGACTTTTCTTGTGCCTGAGTTCTCTACTATAATTTGCTTTTCACATGATAATATCTGCCATATAATTAAGCCTTTCACAGCAGATTGACCCAGTCAAGATGTCAAGCACAGGGCTATTTAAATATATTTACTGGGGGGGGGGATGCTAAACTCAAGAATATATCCCAACTGATTGCAGTTATACAGTACTATCGTGTTACTTACTGCTACTTATAGATGCAGAGTTAGGAATCAGTACCTTCTTAGCACAATACCTTTTTCTTATTTCTATTTTAAAAGCATTGCATTTACAATAAGCAAACAAATTATTTATCTTCTTGGAAACTGAAATCTTTCTACTCTTAGTATAATAGAGTTAACCCAAACCAAAATAATTTATATGATTTTTGTCTCTTATATATACAATGAAAGTAAAAATGCCCAGAAGTACAGCTTAGGTCCTGGTGATTACCTGTACACAACCATGCAATTTTCTTGGCAAGACTGTAGAGATGTTTTGACATTGCTTTGTTCTGAGTTGTTTATTTGGACTTTTAAGTCTAACCCAGTGGTTCTTAACCTGGGCGATATTGCCCCCCAGGGGGCGATTTCATTTTTCAGGGGGGCAATGGAACTAAAAGGGGTGATGTGGGGGCAAAGGAACAAAAAGGGGGTGATATGGGGGCGATGGAGCGAGAAGTTTTGGGGACACTTTTGAGACTTTTTTTGTACAGTGAATGCCTGTATATCTGTCGTACAAAAACATCAGATCGCTCGCTATTAGTGGATTGAATTGTGTTTTCAAATGTTCTTCCAGCTAGCTTCAGTACAGAATGGCATACATATGTAAATACGCACTGCTTATCTTCATGCGTGTTGTGCAGCAGCCTCTACCCATACAGTGGGGCGCCATTAGCCAGAATATGGGAGATATGGGGAAAAGACTGGAAATAAATTATTTGCATCGATATGTCCTGATGAACAATTTTAAAGAAAACAAAAAAATGAGAAAATTGAAGAATTATTTCCTATGTTGTGATTGAGAGGTTATATTGGGGGAGGGGGGCGATGACAATTTCCTCATTGGCTCAAGGGAGCGATTTGTTCGAAAAGGTTAAGAACCACTGGTCTAACCTATAGCCCTGAATTTCCAAGTATTAACTAGGTTCAACTCTCATTAATGTCAAATAAGAGAGGCATTTGAAGACAGGTTTCCTTTACTTTTTAGAGTTGTGTAAAAAAAAGGAATATATCAGGTCCAGCTTCTCATGATGCTGCTCCATAAAACAATTTTGAAGCACTAGACTTTAATGAAACAGAATGGCAGAACATTTGACAGATAAATGGAAATGCTTCACATAGCTCATAGTTAACTGTGCAATCATAAAGATATGGTAATCCACCTGGCTAATTTTAAAAGCATTAGAACAAATATATGAAAAGGTGATGGCATATTAGGATCAGGATTAATCAAGATCAGAGGCAGGTTGGTTGGTTGGTAAAAAGGGAAATTAAGTTAGTAATTATTTTAGCTGTTTTATTAATGATATAAATATATTATTTGTTTTTTTAATTTTTTTACATTATGTTCTGTATCATTAAAAAATACTGATTATTTGTATACAGCTCAGCAGAATGTATCTGTTTTCGTCCAGTGTCTTCTAATTAATCGCTAACTAGGTATGTGATAGAATTGGTTCAAACTTATACAGTTTTTTTGTTTTGTTTTTTATCTTCTACAGTTACCATATCCAATAGTAGTCAAGGAACTACTGGTAAGCAAAAACACATAACCTTATCTTGAAAACAATGACATCAATTGAGATGTATTCTTTTTATTTTGGAGAGTTACTTATAGTTATTATAAGTTATAATAAGTTAGTTACTCTTCCCCTATAAAACTGGAGAAGGCAGTCTTTATGTGAATCTGACTACCACAAGACTGATTTAATTGATAACTGAAGCTGTGGAGCAGCAAAACATCAGCAAAGAAGATCTAGACTACAACAAGAATTTGAAATCTGTAAAATAATTCTATTAATCTAAATAACAAAATGGACTAGATCCTCACATCTGTAGCTTTAAGCTTCTTTAATATTTAATATAGATAGATAGTACTTTAATTGGACCTCAAAAAGCCTAGTATGGCTAATTGAAGAATAACAACTATTACTGATATCCATTATCAATGCAGCTATCCCATATGCCTGTATAGTTAACTGGTGGAGGGCCACTACCCTCCACCAGGCTCTGCATTTACATTTAAGTGCTGGGATTCCATTAATAATTAATGTTTCTGCATGGCTGAGAGTTTGTACGGAACCATGTGGAAGATTTCCAACCAAGCCCTTTCAGGACCCTGGAGAGCAAATTGCAAAAGCTACACCCAAAAGACAGACTCAGCACCTATCTGAGGATTTTCGAAGATTGGCAAAGCCAAGAAATCCTTCTTAGTTCCACCCTTGCTTGGTGTTATCTTTAAACCTAAAGAACCTGTAACCCTTTCCTAAGCATTTAAACTCATGCATAGCTAGTAAATTATGGGAGAATCATCAGAATCTGAATTATCTTCAAGCTGAGATGGCACAAACAGGCATGATGATGGCTTTCCCAGAACTAATATGATCATATATTTATCATATGGAGAGTTCTTTACAGGCTTTTGCTAAACATCTCATTCTGTTGATATGACATCCAGCAGTTCTCCTATTCCAACTATTTCACTGGCTGGTACTCACCAGGATGGTCAGTACTAAACAGCCAGGATGATCAGGACAGTTGTGAGACTATTGGACCAGATCCATTAATATCTCACATTTAGCTCCCCCTGTATAATGTCTACCCTAGGTACTCCCCTATATAATCTATCTGTAATACATAGGATTTTAACTATGCTGAGTAAAGAACACAGAACATAGTCTAGATAAGAGTTTCCGTGCACTCCATCCAGCATAGTTAAAATCCAGGGCATTGAAGAGCACCAAATTGGGGAAATTATCTCATCCCAATTAATCCCAAATGATCCTTATGAGTTTAAATGGGCAGTCATGAAAATGCTTTACATTACAAAATGAAAATAAGGTTATGAATTGATTTTGTTAACTCATGCCTATTTTGCTGCAACATTAGTTTGCACTTCAATATTTTTTAATTTTAAATATTTTAACTGAAAACCACACAGTACAAAGCAATTTATATACTTAAATGACATGACAGGCATATATTCATCAGTATATAGTAAGTCTATAAGGAAATTGGAGACATATTACATTCTCCAGATGACTATGACTATACTGCTCCATCTGGTCCACAGAAACATCCCCAAATTAACACTAACCAATTTCATGACATCTGAATTTTGTGAAAATGTAATTTACAAACCAATTTGCCTAATATAGCAATATTCCATATTTGCTGTACCACCTTCCATTGAACTATTTTCTAATGATTTTAAAAATCTAGCAATAATAAATACTAGCTACTAATAAACAATAATAAAACTTTTAATAAAAATTTCATGTTTTATTATTTTATCTGTTTAAAATAGATGTAATAAGATTTTTTTATAACAAAAATATTTATAGTTCTATAAATTATTCATCCAAAATGCAGCCATGTATATAGATGTGTAATATTAGAATTTTTTATAATTTCTTGAGATTCAGCATGGGAGGTTTCTAGTAATGGATCAATGTTAAGAAAATTTCTTTAGTTTGAGCAGAAATAATTCTAAGTTATTTAGTTCAAATATTTGATTCCAATCATGAATTTATTTATTTGTTTAATTAATTAAATGTATTTGCTGCCCCCAATGCAATTTGAGGCAGTTTAAGGTATAGGTATTCTATGTCTATACCATATTATTGTTCTTAGAAAACTTTGTGTTATCTTTATTGAAGTCTGCATCTAGCAATAGTGTGCATATATTATTATTTATGATTCCATATATTATTATTATTTGTTCAAATGGTGTCATAGATTGGAATCTGAATATGACTATATTGCTATTATTCAGGGAGCAAGTCAGCTAATACTAAAAAAAAGGCCTACTAAATTTAGGCTATGTATTCAACTCAGCTGGTAGTTTAAAACTGCAAAATAAAACTGTAATTTTTAATACTGAATATGCTTTCTATAGGGTCTCCCATGATAAATGCCACTTCAGCAGCAAAAAGTAAGTTCTTGAATAAACAACTGCTTGAAATTCTACATTAACTATACATGTTATACAAGTGAAAATATTTAAAAAGTTTTTATCAGTGTTTTATCCACCACTGATTGTATTAAAGACTGATTGTATTATGTTTTTATAATATTTTGTTGCATGGATACTGTTTCAAGTATAAATTAATCCTTTGATCAAAAGACAATCATTTGCAGCTGGGGAAAGCATCTTTTAAAATTAATATTGTTCTGTGGCGATGATCTTATCAGTATGAACAGACCCCAAATTTATTATTGAGCTAAAATCCTTAAGCTCTGCTCTCCCACATCCTTGTCCAGTGCCATGCTTTTGGGATGGGGACCATATTTTTATAACTCATTCACAACTCATTCACATAGCTGTCTGCAAGGAAGGAAAGAGCCCAAACATAATTTAGACATGATAACTTACATGCTGTAGTCTGATACAGGGATGCAAGAATGAATAGGCTTTATGATATCAGACGTATAATTTTTTTTCTTGATCTCATTTAGTAGAAGACACCTATGTCTACAAGACATTTGTATAGCAGATCCACACTGCTAGTGGGTGCCATCAAGAAATAAAGGAAGAGGGAAATACCACAATAAGCTGAAGGTGGTATGAAGAAAAAGTCAAGATGACCACAACACCTAATCAAAGCTCTGCTACTTTTCTATGCATCACAAGGAGATTTCAATTTTCGAAAGCCCTCCACGCTGCAGACACCTCAGTTAGGCTTGGAATAAGATCCATCTGATAGTCTGGTCAAAATGTGTGAATGGAAAGGCAGGATGCTGCTATGTTTCAGAAGGAAAAAATAGATGGAATAAATTCTGTCTGTGTGTATTAGGGATATCCCCTCACCATTTTTCCATTCACAATTAGACACTCAAAGCATATGAACAAGCAATTTTTAGTGCCATTCCTCAGAAAAACCCATTGGATTCAGTGAAATTTACTGGGTTGATGCCTAGCTTTTATTAACTTCCGTCTGGAATTTTATCATGCCAGGGGAACTAGGGATAAGCAGTGGGAATATGAACTGTCTTAAGTCTTCTTTTGCTCAGAACTGCGCCTCCTAGGGCTATTTTGCACTGAAGAGAACAGTAATTCAAAGGAGCAATAAAAGTATCCACATTTGAAGGAAAGGAGATCATTTGTTCTGCAGCTGAGCAAAAATTAAAATAATGAAGCTAGAGAAGTTCCACGTATTGCTACAACAGCACAAAAAGGCATTGTCAGTCCTATAAGATGGAAGCCCAGAATAGTAAATTTAAAACTTGCTTTCAAGTGTGCTTAATTTAAAATAATGTATTGCCTTTTTCAAAAAGATACAATAATTTTATCTAGCAAGCATTAAACTTACTGTGCATTTTCTGTCTTGCTCTTCCAAAGGTACCACTTTGATGAGCACAGTTGCAACTGCTACCATTAAAGGTAATGTATTATCTTTATGAATTAGTTAGAACATTTCTAATATTTTATTTCTCTTTTAATTCATATCTAAACATTTTCCAGACATTATGGTACAGCAGAGGCCTACTTAAAAAAGAAATGTGTTGTTGAGTTACAAATGTTAGAATAGCACACTGTATGTTAATACCCAAGTCCCATGCACAACATCGCACTCATGTCAGAACCAGTGAGGCACTTCCAGGTTGAAAGGATTAGCTGGTGGCATCACCATTGCCCAGTGATGCCCATTTGGGGCCTCCTTTCATGTCTCCAGCAGGAGCTGGAGCGAAGAATGGGAACTCACCCCTCCCCACAGCAACACTTGGATCTCAAACACAGGCTTGCTAACCTCCAACCCAGTGTCCTAACCACATGAACCACCGTGCTTCTTTAGTCCCATGCATGATTCCTCAAAATTAATTTTGATTTTGTGTATTGGATTTACTCCTCGGAAAACATCCGAAGAAAAGGTGTATAACTTTTTTGGACTGAGAACTGCATTTGTCCTTCAAGTGGCAGATTGTGCACTCTCTAAAATAGGGGGACCAAAAGAAAAAATAAATGTATATGGACTTAACCAATAAATGCAATTAAATTCAGTTAATATGATTACTTCCACATACCGTATATGCCGGCGTATTAGGCAACCCGGCGTATAAGACGACCCCCGTCTTTGGCGCTGATTTCAGCGCTCGCGAAAGTCGTCTTATACGCCGGCATTCACGGTATATAATAATTTCTTCCTTGTATTAATTACATTACCTTGGGAAGTGCTCTGTGGACAGAGACAGTTATACAGATAACTAGCTACGTATATGCTGTTCTGTGGCTGCAGATGTTCTCTGGTCTATAAAATGAGATTGCAGTCTTAAACTGCTAGTAGTAATTGCTTGGGCATATAAAATGCCAATGCTATCAGAAAAAGAAAATGATTTGGTGACAGAAGTATCAAAGAACTGTCCCTCTTATGCTGGATGGGGAAGAGAGAGAAAGATATCTAGAAGCATTTATCCCTTTCTTAAATTGAGTTACAGAATGCACCCTATTTGCTTTTCCCCTTGGGATTCCTTAAGAGCCTCTGACAAGAATCTCATCTGATAGAACAAGATAATACTGTTTTATATTCATCTAAAGATGGATGTGTCTGTTTGTTTTCTACAACATTTTCATTTTCAAGCACAACTTTTCTACTTTGGTCTGTAAGGTGAGATCGCAGCCAACAATAATTGCTTTTGCTTGGTTTGGTTTCTCTCTGAGAAACCTTTGTATGAATTTTTCTTACATATCAAATTTTTATATGGAATCTACTAAACAATGGGAAGCTATTTTCTTAATGGATACATCGATATCATTTTCTTTCTCATGTGCACACTGTTCTATGCATTTTTCCCAGTGTTTGTAGCATTGTTTAAGTTGGAGTGTTCCATTTGGTTGTAACTGCAAAGAATAATAAAGTTACAATTCATCTATTACTGTGTGAAATAAGAATTAGGTTGCATTTTTTTTCAAATAAAATACAGATCAAATTATTTTGGTCCCATATTTCACTATAACTGACAGGATAGAAATGAAATATTTATTAGCTAGGATCATTTTTGTACCACACTTTATAATATCAGATTTCAGCATTTAACATGAAACAAAGTCAAAAACAGATATTATTTTAAAACCGCCAAAACCTGCACAATCAAAGCTCTGTAAACATATTTGGGAAAAATATCTATTAAATGAATAGGCTTGCACTATAAATTAAGAAAATCTCTCAAATAGATATCTAAGTGTCTTTTTAAAAATGCATACTATCTTTTTCCTAAGCGATGGAAAAGATAGTAATGTCTTTTTCTAAAGAAAGGCATCCCATTATGGATTTGAGGATGAAAAATAGTCTACTGAGAAACATTTCTACCTTGTAGTTAACACTGTAATTCATCCCTATAATTCTTATTTTCTTTATATCAATAAATTTCAAACTTTCTGGTGCTCAGGATCATTTCAGGGATCTCAAAAATATTAAGGCCACCCATTCATAAAATGGCAACAAGTTCAAGTAAGTACAGAACAATTACAGCTGAAAAATCATCATCTTTATTAGCATCACATTTTTCTCAATGAGAAAAATGCTTAATCTTTTTTGTTATGCCCTTTGTATTCCCTTGTTATTCTATTACTTCTATTTTCTTCCCACAAGTCTTTTCTCAAAATCCAAAAGGAGTGATCAGGTTTTGGAAGATACCTAATACTATGTGAAAAGTCCACCAGTCCTTTAGAGTTAGTTTCAGTTGTATTTTCCTTTAAAAAAAATTGCCTCCTATTATAAAAAAACAGGGTAACAGTAATAGGGCAAACTATGTTTGCAATTATTTCCTTTGAGTGCTATTTAGTCTTCTTAAAGTGATTCATTATGCGTTCCTGCCTACAAGTGCAGTAGAATAATCCCTAGGAAATTCCAGATTCTAATGAAGGCAAACAGTTTTTCATTTCTGAATATGATACAGCAGCACTTGCTAATTCATTTTTGCAATACAGTACTGCTGAAATGGAAGTAGATAATAATACCATGATTCCCAATTTCTACAGTGTTAGAGAAGTTGGAAGCTCTTACAGGGCCATTGACAGAATAATTGACATAGGTTTGAAGGCTCTGGTCTCAAGACCTGATGGGCAACTAAATCCACATTTTTATTAAAGTAAACCAGTATGGTGATGTTCACATGATTGGTTTGGATATGTCTTCAAGTATTCCTGATATATATTTACATTGATGTGCTATAACTAGACAACTGCTGGAAAGCAGGACAGCTTAATTGCTAGCTCTCTTCTTTTTGTTAAATTAAAAAAAGAGTTAAATACAGTGGTAATGGTCTATCCCTTATTCTTTCAACTTAATCTAAAATCCAGGCTGTCTGGAGTTAAATTTCTCATTCTAATGCTGTTGGGGTCAGTGGATGCGTTCAACAAGCTAACTCCCTCTTTAGTCTACTTAAACCTGTTATATATACACTACCTATAACAGTGATAGCGAACCTTTTATAGACTGAGTGCCCAAACTGCAACCCAAAACCCACATGTATCATCGGGTGCCGGGTGGGCGTGGCCCATTGGGTGGGTGTGGCCCATTGGGTGGGCGTGGTCCATCGGGTGAGCATGGCTGCGGTGGTAACGGCAGACTGGGTGGGACTAAAAAGTTCAATCAATCAATTCCAACTTTGCAAGATCTTTTTTTTCCCACAAGAAGTTGAAATTGATAGATTGATTGAAACTTTTTTTTTTTTGCACACGGCAGCAGAGGCCTAAAGCAAAAAGGTTTTATAAAACCCAGCTGAAGGCCTAGGACTGGGGCGACGGCACGCGTGCCCACAGAGAGGGCTCTGAGTGCCGCCTCTGGCACACGTGCCATAGGTTCGTCACCACTGACCTATAAGTTGGAGCCTGAAATATTTATTTTAGAGAGCCAAAATGAGGTCTCCAGTGGGTTTTGCTAGGAGGCATTCTGGTCTAATGATAAAGATATGGTCTTCTGTGGATGACACTCTGCTTAATTGATCCAGCCTACCTCGGTTTTAAAATACTGCTTGCCTTAAAATGCTATTTGTCTAGAATATGCATTCATTGGGCTTCTTCTTTATAGACCAAAGCTCTCAGACGCCTCACATTCGGGAAAATAAAACAGACAGATTAGAAAATGTCACTGAAGTTGGACCTAAAAGTAAGTGATGACACATTTACATATCAATACATCCTTTTATAAAACTGCAATATTATCTATAGCAGGGCTTTTCAACCAGTGGTACGGGTACCACCTGTGGTACATTGGCATCTGGCAGGTGGTACGCGACCATCCTAGAAAAGTGGTAGCGGGGGAGGGGAATGAGCTGAACTGGTGGCAGCACCACACAAGCCTCAGCGAGAATTGGCTGGAACTGCAGGGCTGTCAGGGCTCAGCGGAATCACCAGGATCAGTGCTTCTTTGGGACTGTCAGGGCTCAGAGGAAGCGCCAGGATCAGTGCCACTTTCCAGCTGATTGGCGCTTCTTTGGGCTGTCAGGCTCAGTGGAAGTGCCAGGATCAGCACCAGGCTCCAGCTGGAGCTCGGTGCTGATCGTGGTGCTTCTGCTGAGCCCAGAAGAAGTGCCGATCAGCTGGAATGTTGCAGCATTTCCAGGGTCTTATGATTTACATTCAGATGCTTGGCAACTGATTCATATTTATGATGGTCACAGTGTCTCAGGGTATGTGAAGTGACCAAAACCTGCTGCAACCACCCAACAGATGGGGGGGAATAAAAACCAAACACCCCTCACCTCACCCCGCTGCCAATCCTCAACAGAAATGCTCACAACAATGAAAACCTCGGACAGGAGGAAGAGCACCGCCAGGTGGGCAGGCAGGTGTCTTGCTCAGCTGTGGCTTGGGGGGGGCACTTTTTTCAGTGCCATTGTAACTTCGAACAGTCACTAAGCGAACTGTTGTAAGTCAAGGACTACCTGTCACTTTTTTCCTTTTTTTTTTTTTTTTTTTTTTGGTCATCAAGTTTTTGACACCTTGCTAGGCAACTGGTGGTACTCAGATGTTGCCATATTCTAAAAGTGGTACAATGGGTGAAAAAACTGAAAAGCCCTGATCTATACTGATTTCCAGCTATTTAGTGGTTATCCCACTTTTTACAACCCAGTCTGACAGCATTAAATCCAACGCATCTAACATTTTCAGTTGCAGAAAGATGCTATGGAGATATCTTTGCCCTACAAGAAATCACCCCTGCCCCATAAATTTTAAAAAGTATGAAAAAAGAACACAAAACAAACACATCCTATGAAGAATGATTTAACAGCTTTTCTTTTCATTTCATTTACAATAATTATTGCCTTGTTATGTTTACAAAGAAAGCTCCATAACCTCACAAGCTCTGATAGAACGCCACTGTCCTTCCCTTTAGTGGGAGGAGTTTGTTTATAGGCAGATAATCCACAAAATGTTACTTCATTGGAGGAGCTAATAAGCAAAATCGAAAGTTTAACGTGTATGTTTATTTGCAAAATAAACATCCGTCTATTTTTACAAATTATTTTTTTAAAATCAAAACACTAAAAACAAACTGTGACATTATAGTAGCCGCTTAGCAGAAAATATGAGGGTGATATTATGGGCATGTTAATTGGTCCTTGGTTCAACTAATCTAAGCTGAAGCTTTTCAAAAGAAAAAATGTCCAGAAATTATTTATATTGCTGTAACTCATCTCAAAAAATAAATGTTGATTATGGAGCTGTATAATGCTTTTAGATCATTTTAATTTCTTTTAAAATATTGTAAGAGTCTTCATTCATGAAGAAACTCTGAAGACACTATCGCATTATCTATTTCAATAAAAATTTCCAAAAGTCCTTTGACATAACTTTTTCTTAAAATAGTGAATGTCATTGTGATACCTATTAAAACAATGTTCCTTAAACTGGGGTCCTTATGTATTTTGAACTTCACTTCCCATAGTTCTCAGCCAACATGAAAGTCAGTGTTCAACATTCTGAAGGGCATCAGCTCAAAGAAAGCAGCTTCAAATAGCTGGATTTGGCACTTGGCCCTTTTGGTCAAAGTGATTGAATTTTATAGTGATTCAAGGTAATAAGACAATTTTAAAGGCTGGGTCCAGGCATGCATACCATCATGTTATTTCCTTTCACAGTAGGCAAATATTATTTGAAGCACATAAAGGGTAAAAAAGAACAAGTCAGAACAATTAAAAGTGTAAGATAAGAAAAGTCAGTATATTTAAGCCTTGTTTGGCATTCACTATACCTCTCTATACTTTTTTATCTTGAAAGCTGCTATCACCATATTTATTAATAAGTCCATATTTATTTTATTCATTTTTATTTATTAAATGTATATGCTGAGTCACCAATCAGGGAACTCTCCATACTGCTTCGTACACTGCCATTATCATTATTATTTCTTAATTGTTTTGTTTTGTTTTGTTTTAGGATTTCATTAACTCAGCCCAATCATAGTTTTTGGTTTTGTCCTCCCTATCAATCTGTTTATTCTTCCTTCGTTTATTTCTTTTGCTGGGACCTGAGGATGTTGAGAAAAGAGATTTGATTTCCATACTTGCATACTGATTATTCCTTTGACAAATATGTTTTGAGAATAGCAACTAACACACTGTCATTTATCTTATCAAAAGTAACAGCAGGCACAACTGAGCCATCAACAAAGATTCCTATGACTTCGGCATTCAGCATGGGTCCAGCAATTTTAGGTGAGACTTTCCCCCCCCCCAATCTCATTCATAATCACGTCTCAAAAATGGACCTATTAAACAGTTATATGACTACTGCATTGGCAGATTTGCCTCTTCTGTGATAGCTTATTGCAGTTTCAGCTTGAGCACAGGTATTCTCATTGTTTTTTATTGTAGTTGATCCAAAGGGAAACCAGAATAGCTGTGGGAATTCTTCACAGAAAAATCATATTATTGTTATTGCGCTCTGCCTCCTGAAGGAGCTGAGAATGGTACACATAAAAAGAACAACATGTAGGGAAGCTAACAGAAGGTTTTGTTATAGCAGCAATACTTGTGGGAAATAATGGGAGCTGTGGTCAAATATATCTGAAGGTATCAGGCTGGGGAAGACTTTATTAAAGGGGGTATTAATATTCTCAGAGAATAGTTGCCATCACTTAGTTATGTGGTGGCTTGGCTACCCCCACCCCTTTTTATTTTAAAAGTAAAGGTCATCTTTCTGTAAGGCAAGACCCTAGACATTTTAGAGAAGTTCCCTTAAGGGATCAGCTCCATCCTCTCAGTACACGGCTCTTAATTCAAGAATGGGCAACCTATAGAGGGTCCTTTGAAATCACAGGTTGATGGGACAGATCTAAAAGGTTGTTCAGCTACCCATTCTCTTTATTTTTTTTCTAATTTAAATATAGTATATATCTTTTTCTCACTCTCTTTTTCCCAATTTCTTGGTTTATCCCTTCCATATAAAAAGATTTTGGGTGAACAGATTGCTTTTGACAGAGCTCTAAATCAGTGGTTCTCAACCTTTTTAATGCCGCGACCCCCAACCGGTCATAAGTCGAGGACTACTCAACCGGTCGTAAGTCGAGGACTACTCAACTGGTGCAGCACCGTTTGCAGAATGGGACTTTTGGCGGGCTCAGCAGGGCAGAGACAGCCTGGACAATTCCTATTGGCTTTTGAAAGCCAATAGAATTAGACTCTATTCAAGAGAGTCTATTCTATTGGCTTTCAAAAACCAATAGAATAAAAGGGAGTAGCACACAGCTAAGGAAAAGGGGGAAAAAATGGCGGACTGCGTTGTTTGGCGACCCCCGAGAAATGGTCGTTCGACCCCAAATGGGGTCCCGACCCACAGGTTGAGAACCACTGCTCTAAATTGATTGATTGTGAAAGGTATTTGAAAATAGATAGTTATACTGATTGCATTAATACAGACTAGAGAGCAACACTGCTGATTTGAATGTTCTCCATAAGAAAACGACTAACTGCTGAAGGGCTAGCATTTGGAAAGAAGCATTATGCTGAAGACATTGTTAGCCATCTACAAGCCTATGGACTAACTATATTTTATTTTATCTAACAGTTCCAAGACTTTTTGTAGCAACTCATCTCAGCCTACTGAACATCTAAAGTAATTACCAAGAGATGGATCTAAACTGCTGAGTTTTATGGTAGTGATAGCACCTATTAATGACACAGGATGTTTACCTGGAAATTGTAAAATACATTTAAGAATGTGAGAACATGGATGCAGTGAAGGTAGAGATAATTAATCGTGAAGTTAAATGATTGATGCAGTAATTAATTGTTTCATAGAAGCTTCCCACTTTCTGCTTTTTGCAAGTATGATAATATTTGTTATGTTGTTAGTTTTAAAATAGGGTTATCCTGCCATTCTACTGAAAACACCAAAGAGTACCCCATTGGTTTCATGTAAGGGACATGATAATGTATGGATGGGCATTCTGCTAAATTCTTCCATTCGAAAGAAACACAAAGTTACACTGAGGTTTTGCTTGTGATTAACATGCATTCATTGGGCTTCTTCATTACAGACCAGAGTTCTCAGAGCCCTGATAACCAGACAAATACAACAGTCAGATTAGAAAAAGCACCTGAAGCTGGACCTAAAAGTAAGTGAAGAAAAACTTATATATCAATAAGCCCAATTTTGTGTAAACCTGTAACTATCTTTGTCATGTTTTCTAACAGGCATTACCCAAGGTCATCATAAGATTACCATATCTGGGTTTCAAAAGTATGGGTGACCACTAAATACACAGAAAATTTTAAGTATGATTTGTTTGCAGCGCAGATATGGTAACCATAGCATTCCAGACTCACGGTGATGGATCTGCACGTCCATAGTACGGTCACCTTTTTAAAAAAAATAATTAAAAAAAATCTATTAAAATAAAGTTCTGTGAGGCAAGTTTACAGACACACTGATGTTTACATGCTTCATTAGAAACACAAGCAAAATAGCTTCTTTGTGAATAGGTTGCTGATAAGGTTGCTTTCCTTCCCTTTAGAGCATCATTCATTTGATTGATATCCAGAAAGAAAGGAGTAGGGAATAACAAATTGATAGTCAGTCATGGTTTATCTGGTCAAAGAAAATATGATAAAGCATAGTTTGATCTCTTTTTTCCATACTACTGTCTATTAAGCTATTAACTTCTTGTAAAAATGAAGCAATCTGAAGTAATGAAAGCAACTATAACTATGATGAAAGCAACTCTCTTTTTCATATATAGCTTATTGTCCCAAATCAACTGATTTTGGGCAACATTACAATATTATCATTTTTCAGATATGAGTCTGGAATTCCTTCCAAATCCACATTAAGGTAGCTATCATTTTAATGTACTATCCCAAATGATAATATGGTTGACTGTGAATAGTACAATAAATCTACCAGTCATTGTCCATTATTTGTTTTTGTTTTTTCTAAAATCTTATTCACTGACTGTTTTTGGAAGTGTTCTGGATATAATCACATCATGTTAGAGGAAGACCGAACTGTGCATATAAACACATCCAACTTCACAGTAGAGGCATAACAAAAGTCAAGATGGCAATCATGGCTCCAAGACTGAAGCCCCTTCCCCTTCCCTGTTTTACATGCAACATGAAACAGAATGAATATCTGACAATACAATGTAATGAGCAAGGGAGTAATACTGACCAGAATACCATCAATACTGAATAAACAAACTTGAAAGAATACTAACTATAGGTAGTCCTCTGCTTATGTCCATTTGTTCAGTGACCATTTAAAGTTATGGTGACACTGGAAAAATGGACTTATGATCAGCCAAGTTCCAGACATTGCAGCACTCACAAGATCATGCAATTACAATCCAAGGGCTTGGATGCCAGGCTTGCAATTACAACATCACAGCAAGCCATGTTGACATAATTGCTGTTTGTGACCTTCTCTGCCAGCTTCCCAAAAAGTCAGTGGAGAAGCTGGCAGAGTTGGTAGTAAGTTGCTCCAGTAAGTCACTTCCATTGTTTTTTTTCCCCCGAGGAGCACACTACAGTGTATGAGATCCAGTGGTGGGATTCAGCCGGTTCGCACCAGTTCAGGAGCCAGTTCGCACCAGCGGAAGTGCATGGATACTGTTGTGTCCTGGGCCTGATGAGGAAACTCAGCAGGCCCAGAATTGTTGCAAATGGTCCCGGGCATTCTAAAAGCTGCCTGGGACCAGACAGAGTGGCGTCAGCCTTGTGCGCATGCGCAAGGCGCGAAGGAAGAAGAACTCTTATTGGTTCACTCTGTCCAGGGTTCAAGCCCTATAAAAAGGCCTGTATGCCTTTTGCTTTTTGCTTGGAGTTGGAGTAGGAGAATAAAGCATTGATTAGTTGTCACCATGTGTCTTCATCATTCGCACGTGAACGGAGAACTCAACAGATACAACTTCCAGAAATCCGTTCTAGGCATCGGAGGCCTGGAGGAGGCCTCCCAGGCCTAGAATGGCCCACCAGAAGTGCATGATGCCACTTCTGGAAGTCCATTCTAGGCATCGGAGACCCAGGCCTGCATCACATAATAGAATCAGTTGTTCAGGTATTTGAATCCCACCACTGATGAGATCTCACAGATCTCATACTCTGTAGCACCAAGTATACACACATACACACACACACACACACACACACACACACACACATTCCATAGTGCATGCCCAACCCGAGCACCTGCCTGCAGCCTCCTCTGCTCAGCTCTCAAGGCCTCCAAGGACCCACACACAAGCTCCATCAACCTGTCAATGCTCCATAGCACCTGCCCATCATACCCCCATCCTCCTTGCCTGGGACTCCTGCCTCATCCCACTTACTGCCTCATCCCACTTACTGACTCACATGGTCCTTAGGTTACAAAGGCAAGCAGGATTGTCAGGACTGCTGTTGCTAAGCAATGCAATTACTCAAACGCACAGGTATAAATTGATAAATGTATGTTCCTCAATTTATATCTGTGCATTTGATTTTTGTTACCTAAATAAAGAACTTTGCCTTTATCTTTGCATCCAGTTTTGGTCACCACATTACAAAAAATATGTTGAGACTTTGGGAAAAAGTGCAAAGAAGAACAACCAAGATGTTTAAGGCCTGGAGACAAAAACATATGAAGAATGGTTACAGGAAGTGAGCATGGTCAGTCTAAAGAAAAGAAGGACTAGGGTGACATGATGGCAGTATTCCAGTATTTGAGGGGCTGCCACAAAAAAAAAGGAGGTCAACTTTTTTCCAAAGCACAGATGGCAGGACAAGAAACAATGGATGGAAACTAATCAAGGAGACTAGCTTGGAATTAAGAAAAACTTCCTTACAGTGAGAACAATTAAAAGTGGAACAGCTTGCCTTCACAAGTTGTAAGTACTTCGTCATTGCAGTTTTAAAGAAAAGACTGGACAACTACCTATCTGAAATGGTATAGGGTCTCAGGTTGAGCAGGGGGGTTGGACTAGAAGATACCCAAGGTTCCTTCCAGCTCTATTCTGTTTGATTGATCATTCTGCGATTTTCATCCATTTCCACATTACAGTGGATGTATGGCTGAAACATTAAGGCTTACGTGGCAAATTCATAATATCTTCTGCTATTAAATTGTGCACATGGACCCTAGCAACAGGGAGAGATGCAAAATTATTTCTGTATGGTTCAAAAATGGGATGTGAGGTGTACAGTAAAGAAACATTAAGAAAGCTGAGAAAGCTGCAATTAATTCAAATGCTAGTTGATCACTGAAAGCAAAAAAAAATTTCAGTGGACAATATACATGACTATATATATTTCTTTTCTCATAGACAATTCAATATTAACTAATCAGGAAAAACAAGATGACACATCTTATAGTGGTAAGTAAATACGGCCCATGGTCTCTCCTCACAAGTTTTCATAAAACTTTGTTTACAAAAAATGTTACTTGAAATGAAATTGTTGCACAGAAATTGTTCCCACGGTGGCCAAACAAGTGCCCAGGGAAGCCTACTACTTTCCCAGCAGATGACTTTTGAGATAGTCACACTGCCATCAAGGCTAATACTCACTGATCCCCATGACTTCCATGAACTGATCCAGCCTTGGGTGACTTTGTTTCCAGTATTGTGGAAAGAGTGAAATGGCTTTCCTTTGTCCGTTTTATTCCTGCTACAATATCACATTTTTTTATCCAAAGGAAGCTGCTCAAGACCTTTCATCATTGTAGTTGCTCTCCATGAACCTTCTCTAGCTCTACAATGTCCTTTTTGAAGAGCAGCAACTAAAATGAAGAAAACTGACTCAGAAAGCATGAATTTCTATAATTCTCTTCTGTAAAAGGAAGACATAGGGAAACCCCCCCAAAAAATCAAGTTCTTCCATAATAATTAAAAAGCTCAAATAGGAATTATAGATTTGTACTTTGCAGCAGTTTTTCTTAAGCTGTATAACTCAACATAATGAAGAGTATGACATCTTGGATAAACAAATTATATGCAAAAGAAGATGTAAAGAGTTGCCCCCAAACTTTGCCAGTAAAGAGCAAAATCAGAGAGATGTGTAGGGTTTCAAGCAAAACAAGGTCCAATACTCTTATCAACAGCTCTATGCAGGGGTCTAATATCTTGGTGGCCCAAAACATATCAGCTGCTAGAAAATAATGGGGCATTTAAAATCCATATTCAACAAAAATGGGAAGAGGGAGAGGATGAGGAAGAGAGAGAAACCATATACAGTATCCAGTCTCTTAATCATATTTGCAGAAACTGGTACTATGCTGAGGAAGAGATATACACTCCCATTTTTAATTTGTTTTTCTAATGCATATAAGATAAAACCATCTTCCTCTTAAATTCTGGAAGTCAAAATACTGCTATTTACTGCAGAGATTTTTGAGTAGGACAGGAAAACAGATTCTCTCCCCCCCCCCTTTCATTAAGGTTCTTTGCCTGCCACCTAGTGGTCATGCTGAAATACAGAAAGCCTAATAAATTGCTTTTTTAAGGGTGCCTTCAAGTCAGTGGTGACTCCTGGAGACTGCATGAAGAAGTGTCTCCAGTTTCCTTAGCAAGATTTCATAAGTGGTTTGCATAGCTTCCTTCCTAGGGCTGACAGAAAGTGACTAACTCAAGGTCATCCATCTGGTTTTGCCCTTATGGTAATACTAGACCTAAGTTTTTCAAGAATTCCCCAAAAGGTATCAAGGGTGGGTGAGAAAAATTGTCAGATTTTAGATGTTTAAAGACATGCAGGTGTTGTAAAGTGCATGAAATAAAATGAATACTTTCATTACATACAGGTATAATTTTGCCAGTGGTCATTGCCCTAATTGTAATAAGTGTCATCGTATTCCTTTTAATGGCTTTGTACCGAATGTGCTTGAAGACAACGCCAGGTATGTATATGTGCTGAGGAAATTAAAATTTAAATGTATATAACATAATGAAATACACAGACATAGGATGAGCGTTTCTGGCTTTGCATTACAGTGCTTGAGAAAGTGTTTCGTATGTCAACTGAACATGAGTCCACAATCTTTGGTGGCTGCTTTAAAAAAATAGTTTCCAGATTTTGTGAAATATATTTCTTTCTACTTGATTCTACTTTGGTGGGATTCCATCACAAGTATGGCAGGCAGTTCTGCATGTACTACTTTTAAGATACAATTCATTCATGGAACTATCTTCACAGATAGTAAGAACAATGATCGAGGAAACATAAACTTAAAACTATAAGTTCAAGGAGTTAACAATGTTTAGCCATGAGAAAGAAGATCAAGGGACTACATTATAGCACTCTTCAAATATCTGAGAGATTATCATATGGAAGATAAAAACTGTTCTTAATTGCTGCAGAATATAGAACAATGTGTTCCTTGACATGCTGGATAACCATATGTTGGGGGATTCTTTACTCTGGATTCCTGCATAGAGGAGGAAGTTGGATTTAATTATGTAAAAGGGCCTTTCATGTCTAGTAGTCTCAGATTTTATTTGCTAGAAACCTAATCTGATCTCTCTTAAAGTGCTTCTGAGATTAGGTGAAAGAAGAGCTAGAACCCTAAAGCTAAAGTTCATTCAACAAACTCTTAGATATCCCTATTGCCCATCCAACCTACTCTTAAGAAAAACTTTCTTATAAAGATATAGAAATTGAACAGTAGCAAATTGAACAGTAGACTATTATGTGTCTCATGTGCTTGACAGATTAGATTTCAGTTGTTGATACCGTTTACAAGACCAACTGTTAAAAAACAGACCAGAATTTAAAAAATTGGAATCAGTTCTAAATATTCTTAGAATAAATTATAATTACATTCAAATTGCTTCAGAAATTTCATCTATAAAACCTTTAAAAATTACTACTGGTTTTAGACTATACTTGAATTTTGTAATTGAAAAGTCTCTATGTAAGAAGGACAGAAACCCTGATACATAAAAGAAAAAGATCTCTGACATATCACATTGAACCTAGAAATGTGGAAAGATGATGTGACTTATCATGGTGGACTAGAAAGATAATGTGAATTTAAATTCCTTCCAGAGAGGCAAGAGAATGGAACTGAACAGTAAGTTATTTCCCTTTTATTCCATCCATTTTGCTCATTTATGTTTAAACACATTAAACATGTTAGGTTACAGTTTCTTTAACAACCCAGTTTTGAAAAGAGTGGCATTGTTCACCCGACCTTCTAGTCTTCTACATTTATCTTTCAACAGTCAAGTCCCATTTCTTCCAGATGAATGTAATTTTGAGTGTGGAAAGGTAGAGTGCGATAACTAAAGTTACATAACTTGCAAGCAGTTACCTTGTGGAGTTTCAATTCAGCTACAATCTGTCTCATGTGTACTTTGCTTCTCACTGTGTGACCAACAGCTTCAAAAGCTCGGCATTCAAAGTCATTTTTCTACTTGAAGCAGTATTAACATTTCCTAAAAAACTTTTTTAACACCCCCCCCCAGACACACATCCCTCAGAAAATGTAACTTTGTGGAATTTCATTTAAATATTTTATTCTCTGTGTGTGTGCATAATACCTCACAGAGTTGTTGTGGGGAAAATGGGAGGAGGCAGGGATTTGGGATATGTTCATCACCTTGAGTTATTTGTAAAAACAATAAAGGTGGGATATAAATAAATAAGTAAATAAATCATTAAATAAGGCAACTACAATTTTCAGGATACAAAGAACAGATTATGACTAATTTGCAGCTAAAGAGGTCGTCCAGAGTCACTTTGGATAGTGAGACAGCTGACATATAAATTTAATAAATCAATTAAATAAGAAGAAAGGAGAGTGTGTTATCACGCCATTTGTTGGTATTCAGCCCCATGTGTGAGAAAATGCTGGAAAAGAATTTGTCTCCATACTTTGTCATTGAAAGAATTTAGAAAAAAAAAAAACAATCCCATTTCTCAAGCCACAGATAAATAGATTTTCAAGGAATCCCTCTCCACAACTTTAGTTAGGGCAGTAAACTGCCTAAATTATATTACTGGCTCAGTACAGGTATTATCTATAGTTACCACCATACCATTATTTGCACTCTTAACATTTCAGGTTGAGAGAAGTTGAGACAATTGACTTCTTCATTGCCTTAAAAACAGCCTGTCAATCAGGGCACGATGCTTTGATAATTTGCAGAACAAGTTTAGTGCTTGTAAAGTTGTTTGCAGACCATCTGAACTCATTTCATCCTGAATTTTATGAACACTAGAAAGCATTTCCATTTCTATAACAATTCTTATCTTGTCCAGACTTGGGTTTATTCTTTCCTTGTTTGGATACTGATCCAAAAATTCAAATTTGCATAGACCTAAGTGTATTAATTAAACAGTTTAATTAAACTGCTCATTTACTAATCCAGGTGGCCTTTACTGTTGACCCACATACCAAACTGACATCTGTAAAAACAATAGTACCATTTTTGAAATCCTCTTTGAGCTCATTCATTTACCTCTGGAAAATCTTCAAGACAATCTTTTAAAACTGGTTCTCCAAATGAGGTAATGAATATATTTTGCTTGGGTTTGCTTTCAACTAAGTTTGGGTTTTACCCGGACTTCCCAGCCCTGTCTAGTTTAGAGAATATAGAGCTGCAGTTTTATGTAATATTGACAAAGAAAGTGTGCATGACCATCTTCTGTTACTGTCATTATTTATATTTGGGAAAGTCAAATGCAAGTTGCTAAGGCTTACCAAAACTTCTCAGATTGCAATCTAATGCTTTTCAAATTAATTCAGTCACATTCCTCTGAATTAAATGGTTCTTCCCAATAAATCTGTGTTAGAACAGATCATTGTTCCTCTCCTACTTCCCACTGGGAACAAGATATAATCCTCTGTCTTTTTATGTTGGCTATGGAAGGTCAAAAACCATAGGAGTTTGGTTTTTCTAAAAAAAAAAAATCCTGGGATAGAAGCCAGGTTTAGGCTTCTTTGCTAGGTGAGGGGAAGAGTGGCAGTTTTTTTTTTTTTTCAGTCCAGCACAGAAATGCAGTCAGTTGCTTCAAAAGAAAAAAAAAATCCTTACATGTTCACTCCAGGGAGGACAAATACTCCAGAGAGAACAAGACATTCCTGTATTTTCTAGCAAGAGAAGAGAGAAATTAATTTAATATATGTTTGAATGAAAACATATTTAATTTCACTTTTTTTAACCAATCTCCAGAATCAAATTTTCTAATACAATTTCTCATTATTTAAAAAAGTACTTTAGGGAAAAAAGACTTCAATCAAATGTATATATTAATGAAAACAGTGTACAATCTGACTTACATTGTGAAAATTATTTATATTAAAGAAAAGTACACATGTGCATCAAAATAAACAAGAATTCCCAAGTTCAATGAATTGGATTTGAACTGAAGCTGAGAAGGACCAAATCAAACATATTTGTGAAAATGTGAATCTGAAAGAAGCATAGATGGAATTGCCCATTCCTATGGTGGCTTATATACATTCCTCATTTTAGACAGAATGGGGCAATAATCTGAAATTGCAGCTGCTTAGTGGTAGCGGATTTGTTGTTCCTCCCAAATTGCCAAACTATTTGCACAGCTCAGTGTCCATCTGGCTCACTTTGATGCTTTAAATTGGCCTGCTGCTATTAGATATGATAAATGATGCTACAGGCAGTCCTCAGCTTATTTGCCAAGTTCTCAACCACAATTTGGTGGTTGGATACTTGTGCCCCAAAAAGGTCATAAAATCAGGTGTGACTTGCTTAATGACTGCATCACTTAGCAGTGGAGGTTCCCATCCTAAATACCCAACTACAACTTGGTATTTGGGATGGAAACCTCCACTGCTAAGTGATGCAGTCATTAAGCAAGTCACATCTGATTTTGTGATCTTTTTTTCATGGTCTTTAAGCAACGCATGTGGTCATTAAGTGAATCTGGCTTTCCCCATTGACTTAGCCTGTTAGAAGTTCCCTGGTAAGTTTGTGTAAACAGCAATCACGTGACATTGTAACTGTCATAAATACATGCCAGTTGCCAAGTACACAAATTTTGATCACATGGACACTAAAACAGACATAAGTGCAAGGCCTTGTCATAAGTCACTTTTTCAGCACTGCTATAATTTTGAATGGTCATTAAATGAATAGTCATAGGTTGAGAACTATCTATATTCCATCATCAAGGTTGAAGTAAATTAGCCTTGGTAGTTCAGTCTCCTGAATGAGAATAAATGAATGTGAGGATAAAGTATCAGAGAAGAAGCAAAACCAGGCAGGGTTTTGCATAGCTACATGTTAGAAGATCCAGCCAACATTCTATCAATTCTCCTGTCCTGTATCATCCTATATCCACTTCCATATGATGTATCCTTTGCCTTCATAAGACATTTGTCAATCATACAACACCTCCCAACAGAGCCCCATCGGATAAAGAGAATGTGAAACTCATTTCTGTTAAGACAACTTCTTCAGACTCAGGTAAGTCATGCTTATTCATTACTGGTCAGGTTGAGAAGTAAGACTAAGCTTTTAAACATTCGTCAGAGTTACACAGACTATTAGGCCTGTATTTAGAAGAAAGGCTATGCTTGCTTGAAAAAGATTGGAGACTAGCACATGTCTGTTATTCATTAAATCAACCCAATTAGTTTGGGGCTTCTTCACAAGTGTGGAATATTATAAAAGATGCCACATTATGCCTCTCATGTAAGTTTTAGCCATTTTCTGGAAAACAGTACATATGTGGAGCAAAATAAATGGTTGGGCCTTTCTTCTAAGCCATTTATATCATAGATACTTTGTCATTAGAGATCTTTCACTTATAAATAAGCTCTGGGGTTTGTTTGTTTTTTAGAAAATAGTCTGAAAACCACAAGTATGAAATTATCAAATTGTTCCTATTAGACATAATGTTTTCAGACTTGGCATAAAAGAAAGGTAACACTGACAGTTTCTTTTTTTTAAAAAAAAAATAATAAATGGAAAAGAGAACTTCAGGGCCTCAGAAGGCTTCTAAATCTTCCAGTCTGACTATAAAGTTTTCTTCTGCTGAGCAAATGCTCAATAAACCCGTTACTGAACCGTGTTGTACGCATACTATATTTGGAAGACATCTGAGTCATTGGCACTTTACGATTATTATTTTTTCTCTTCCCTCTCACACTAGTTAATTTGATTCATATTTAATACACTTTTTGCAGTTGGCTTTTCAAAACTTTAATGCACTTTCAGTTCACACATTTCCATAAGCATAAAATCCACTTTGCCCTTTCTGGTCTTGTGAAATATTTAGTTTTTAAAAAGCTTAAAAAGTAAAAATTCTCTGGTCTCCAAATCTCCCCTGAGATTTTTCTCTTATACATGTAATCACATTTACCTTTATCCAAGTTTTCTGAAGGAAATGAGCCTTCCTCCTTCAGATGTCAAAACTGAGCATCCAGGGAACAGCTGTTTTATAAAAACAGAAATGCAAGGAAGATGGGCAACAAAATTATAGTCCAGTGGGATCAGATGTGTCATGTAACAGTAAAATGAGATTGTTTAACCAGAGCTGAGGATTCTTTCTGCGCTGATTAAAATAGTTGCTCTGTGGTCCAGAAGAACTTGGATTTAATTAACAAAGTCATCTTCAGGATGAATGGCAACTCATCAGGTGTTCATTTTGGTTCCCAGCATTTTAAAAGGAGAAGGACGAATTGCTCTGAATTCCAAAAGTTAAGTCAGGATATGGGGAGAGGGTCTTCAGGCTGGAAAGGCTACTGTATATACTAAACTATACAGTGGCCCCTTAAGTGCAATCTATTCTCCATTCTATTTTCCCTTGGTTGATATTAGAAGCCCAGATTAAGAGCTTGCAAGAGAACTGCAACCCACCTCCACAGGCCCTGTTAATAATCTAGTTTATTATGAAGTGTAGATTCTGTATTCTCTAATTATGATTCAACAGATCAATGATCCTTACCAGTTTTTGAAGGCTTTCATAATTTTGCATAATTAGATTTTAGCATGATGTTTGCATTCTGTTTTTCATCTCCTGCATATTTTGAACCACTGCTGTTCCCCATTAATCTTTATTTTCCTTCTGGGCTAGGCATGTTCAGTTTCTTGACCCTTTCCTCCTATGACTTGCCTTTAGGCATGTCATTACCTTTGGAATCCTTCAAACCAATGTGAGTACTCCCATTGGTTATCAGACAGCAGCCTAAAGACTGCAGTACTTCCCAATGGGCTTAGAAGAGTGGTTTCAATGGGTTCCCTTCGAGCTGGGATTAAGTTGCTTCTGGGTTGGGGGTCATCAAACTGGTGAAATATATCCCTCTTCCTGAGTAGTGATGTGGGATATTTATATATTTAAGCAAAAGAATTTAGTTTTTTTTTTCTTTACAATCTTAAATGAGTACCTGTTCTTATTACTCAGTTGTCTATTAATGTGCCTTGTGGCTCTGCTAGATTAATATGTAAGCTATCTTTTTAAAAATATATATATACATAGGCAGTGGCCTATGGCTAAGGCAGAAAACTTCAGTATGATTATATCTGGAACTTTACTGAAATTGTGCATTTTTTTTTCATTTTTCTTAGCAGAGCAGACTTCTCAGGGAAGGAACAAAACTCGGCAACATAACGATTCCTCCTCATGCCAAGGCAACAAATGTGTATGCTCAAGATTTTATTTCTATCTGCTAAACACTGAATGAATATTTCTCATTTTCAGTGGCAGTCAGTTTTTTATTGAAAAAAAGGCAGATAACCTTTTCCTTAAGTAGCTTAAAGATTTGGAGCAAATATTGTTATGCCTTCCCAAAGCAAAGAAGGCAAGTGAATAAATACCTTAGAGGACTCTGCTTGCAGTTCAGAAAATCCAAAAGAGAGCAAATTCTCAGTGTCAGTCATGGATAGCATCTGGGTAGCCTTGGAGATGGGCTATTGTAATCATGCAAAGGTCATTTAGCAAAAGAAATAGAACATGAAAATACAATGTTTTCTGCAGGGAGTATGCCCTTAACAAAACATCAGTGTTCTGTCTTAACTCCATAAGACAGATGTCCATGGGTGCTATAATTCAGAGTTGAATGATCTATTACTTGGGGAGAGGGGATGTTTCAAATACCTCAATAAAGAGATGGGTGGATGGGGGAGAGAGAGAGAGACAGAGCTATGGATAGACAGATAGATAGACAGAGGGCAATGACAATTAGAAAAAAAGGGATATTTCTACATCCTTCTTTTAGTTCTGGACATTTTCATTGGCTTCGTCTGATAGATATATGACATCTGCAAGACTAGCCTGAGGGAATCTATCATTTGAGAGATGTAAGGGTTCTTAAATGTTCCTTAATCCTAAATGAAACAGTATCACCTTTCCAAGCAATTAATTGTCTGCTAATTAAGATTCTAAAACAGCTTAGAAACTGTAGGCTAATAATGCACTCTAAAAATCAGCCTAGTCAATATAATAAAGCCAAAATAAACTTGTAATACAAACTACCTTGAAACTTTCCTTCATTTCAGATGTGAAGAATTCCTGTTTCATTCTAGAAACCATTGAACAAAGTTGGATTTTTTTGATGTGAATCAAGAGCATCTATGCATCACTGAAAAAACTATTCATTTCATTTCTCTGTAATTTTGCCATGTTGTCATGTTTTTTATATGCCTGTTGTTTATTTCTAAAAAGACTTTTGTAGTTTTTCTCTCTTTTTCAGTCCATTGCTCTACAAGACCTATTTATTGCTTTCCATGTATGTAAGGCAGAGAAAAATTGCATATTATAAAAATATATAAAATGCACTTGACATTTGCCAATTCTGATACTGTAGTTTTGTACATAAAATATATTCTGCTTGTAAATATAATTCTTTATGTGCTTTCAATAATTACCACAATATTAAATATTATATATTTTGACCATATCTGTTTACAATAAAAACAAGATACTAACTTGAGTCTTTCCTTCTGTAAATACAGTAGATTTCTTGCCTCCCATTTCAATGCAAAGCAAAGATTCAAGTTACTGTATCCATAAGTGACTAATCCCCTTATTAAGACAAAAACTGGTACAAAAATGTCAACCACATTTAGGTCTTTCAGAAGTCTTTCTCAAGCAAAATGTTACAAAAACCAAGCAATGGGAAAGAAGCAAGACACTCTAAAGCAGGGGTCTTCGAACTTGGCCCTTTTATGAATTGTTGACTTCAACTCCCAGAAATCCTCAGCTAGGCATGCTGGCTGAGGAATTCAGAGAGTTGAAGTCCACAAGTCATAAAAGGACCAAGTTTGAAGACCCCTGCTCTAAAGCTTCTTCCATCAAGAAGATCAGAATTTGTCTCCATGGGGTTTCCAATTCAGATTTGAACTTAAGATTGGAGGTGTAGACAGAACCTATTTGCAAGCGCAGGTGCAATATATTCAGAGTTTCAGCTACTATCCTAGGACATCTTTTGGTTTCCTTACTTGTTCTCTGCTTCTTGTAACATCTTAGCTTGATGCAGATTTCTGCAACTTCTTTTGCATCGTTTGATAATTACCAAAGTATTATTACCATAATGTGGATTCCTGTTTTTTTCCTGATAGGCCAACTATGTCTTTTAAACCACTATATGTAGCTTGTTTGTGCAATGGTGGGAGAACATTTTTAAAAGGCAAACATCATTGCAATGCAGCCTGAACTTAGGGAAGGAAGGAGGAATGTATAGTATGTATATATTAACACTCTTTAATAAAATACATGGGAATCTCTTGCACTGGATTTCTACTTCAAATGGCAGCTCTGGAGACTATTTCTTTTACGAATTTCCAATATTCCTTAATTCCAAACATTCAAAAAGGGGGAATAATAATTTCAGAATAATGAAAATCATGATACCATCTTCTGCTAATGTGACTGCATTGCACAATCCCAATGTTCAGGAAAGAGTCTAGAAACCATCACCCTGTCAATCTTTATCAAGCATTTTTCCCTGGAGAATTATCTTCTCTTTTTAAGAGAAACAAATCCTACATCTGGTCAGAAGCTGTGTTTGCTGTAGAAATGTAATAAGCAAATGATTATGTCAAAATTCCTTTTCTGGGTGCTTTTATTAAGGATGCAAAAGTATAACTTGGCAGGAAGAAAAAGAATGTGTATTTCTGTGATATTTTATCAAAACAGATGTTTGTGCTTAATTAACACAGGAGTAAGACACAAATAAACAAGCTGCTGAAAGCTGTGGCAGACTTTGAGTGTGATGATGTCCCAATTATTTAATCTAGTGATGCTAGAAATTCAACATTAAACTGCAGTTTAGTCTTACTTTAAAACCAGAAGGTCACAAAAGGTAATCACATGACCCCAGGACACTACAACCACCATTAATACAGGCCAGTTGCCAGGCGTTTGAATATGATGGTGCTGCAATAATTGTTAAGTAGGAAAAATGGTCATAAATCACTTTTTTCAGTGCTACTGTAATTTTGAATGGTCACTGAACAAATGGCTGTAAATTGAGGACTACCTGTAGACCAGACTTAATTCCTCAAATAATTTCAGCAAAATGTTTCCCTTATTATATGCAGTTCCGGATTCTTCAGTGGAGCAACAACTTGAGAATTGTGTCAAAGGTGATGACCTGAAGCAGTCTAGGAAGAAAAGGAAGAGCATGTGTAAATCTTTTTAAATGAGAGATTGTAAACTTCTATAGCAGGGTTTCCCAACCTTGGCATCTTTGAGACCTGTGGACTTCAACTCCCAGAATTCCACAGTCAGACTGGCTGTGGAATTCTGGGAGTTGAAGTCCACAGGTCTTAAAGTTGCCAAGGTTGGGAAACCCTGTTCTATACTATAAGTGTTTCCAATTCCCACTTTTTCTAGAGGAAGACATTCTACTCTGTGTATGCCACTTTCTTGAGGCAAAAGATATATTTTATTATCATTACTGTCACCAGTGTTACCGTACCAGTCTAGTCAGTTTTTACATAGAATTCAAGAGGTGAATTCATTTCTACAATTAGCTGTTCTTCAGGAAAGACCACAGAACATTCTACTTGAAAAACCCTTTATATCCCCATTCATCCATGCTACATGGGCATACCATAGGATACATTCAGCATAAACTGCAGGGTCTGCCTTCATTACTAGTCATTGCTGTAGGAGTTAAGCATAGCTTTGAAAATCCTGCAATCTTGAAAACATTATCAGCGAAGACTAAATCAATATTGACATTCTTTATTATCCTAACTGCTACTGTATATTACAGAGCCAGCAATTAAACGTGCAATTTTTCTGGATTTCCATAGGTCACTGTTTCATATTGTTAAGAAAAGAGGGGAGGGGGTATTATTATTATTATTATGGTTATATTCTGCAACCTAGAACCCTCTGACGTTTAGATTTCTACTTAAAATCTAATCTCTTAAAATCTAATGGTCATCAGAGAAAGAGTATAGCAAATAAACCCAACATATTTGGAAGACACAAAGCAAAGCAAAGTTGAACTAAGTTCATATGAAACTTCTATAAATGGAAAGAAATCATACCAATAAAATGTACAACTAAGCTATGAGATAGGCCAGAAATGCAGCAAAAACACTCTCTCTCTCACTCTTTCTCTCTCATAATTTACTGTAGCTCTTTCTTTTCCTCCACTTTTCTTTTTAGTTTGCATTTTGTGACTGATGACTGTGACTGATGAAAAATGATGACTCTTCAACTGCCACCTTTGGCCATGATGCCTGTAAAAGCCGCAATCCAATATATCTGGATTTATTATGCTTGGAAATCCTGACATCAATATTTATAGCTCAACAATTACAAGGTCATAGAAACTATTTTTTAGAGTTTGCTATGGGTCCATGAAAGTTGAGAGAAAAAAATTAGAAGGAAAAAGGAAGCAATATGAATAATTTCTTATAACATTACTACCTTATAACATAACAACTATTTGTCTATTTATGTATATTTTATTTATTGACATTTATAAGTGGCCCTATCTACATGTACTCTGGGCTGTATTCTGTACTCATATAGTAGTTGAAAATGTAATACAATAAAAACAAATACACTAAAATAGTAACATCCAACTGACCTAATTGGTCACTCAAGCAAAGCTGTTGGCCAGAAGCTAATGGAAACATTAGCAGTTCAACTTGCTTATTAAAAGCAAGGAGGACTGGATTCACCTGTATTTCAGAAGGTGAGGTATTACAGTGTCTTGTCAAATATGATACATTTCAAATGTACTCTTGGAGAAAGTTATGTCAAACTGATTCTCAATTCAGCATCAAGCATCAACCAATAACCAGAACATCTTTGGCTATTGCAATTTCTATCTGTCTTCTTCAAGCAACTTTCCAGTGTGGAATTATAGATCTGGATTCAGCATCTACACTGATTAAGCTTTCAATCTTCTTGTCACTGTCAGAAGGTTAAGCCTATTGATTTTAGAATGCCTTCTAAATTAAAATAGATTTATTGTACTCAAAATTTCTTACTTTCTATCACTTTTTGGCTTAGTAATCATTGACTACTTTACAGTTAGTACTTAAAGGCCATTTGCAAATGTGGCCATTTGCACATGTTTGGAAGTAATCCCTATAATTTTATCTAACAACTTTCAGCCAAGTTCCTTGTATACTGTGTGTGTGTGTGTGTGTGTGTGTGTGTGTGTGTGTAGGTTTTTGGTTATTCGGGTCTGGTGTCATTCTTTGTGTTAGGGACTCGTTTGTCAATAAGGGCGGGTTTCCAAATGGCTGGTAGGCAGGAGGTATCATTTCATTTATTCATGCTGTGTGGGCGTTTTTTTTTATCTTGATGGCTTCTCTGATTATTCTGTTATTAAAGTGAATCAGAGAATCAGAGAAGCCATCAAGATAGAAAAACGCCCACACAGCATGAACAAACGAGATGATATGTCCCACCTACCAGCCATTTGGAAACCCGCCCTTATTGGCAAACGACTCCCTAACACAAAGAATGACACCAGACCCACACTCACAAAAACCACACAGGATGTCACCACCACACATCCACGCAAAAAGCAAACCCAAACCCACACTGATGATGAGGCATGACCACAAACCAGAAGCCAGACCACAGCTGCATCATTAGCCACTTTAAACCCCTCCAATCCATACATAAAGCAAACTGACACCCACCATGAAGATGAGGCATGACCACGAACGCGAAGCCAAACAACAGCAAGGCAGCCCACCATCTTAAACCCCCCTGCAACTCAGACTAACCTGAGCACAACAAAGCCCCCACCCAAACAGAACACTCCCTCAGCCAATCAGAGCACAGTCAACCCCCCATCCAATCAGAGCACAGCCAAGCCCCTAACCAATCAGAACACACCTCCACCCAATCAGAACACAGCCAAGCTCCCACCCAATCAGTTCATACCCCCACTGGCAGTTAAAAGGAAGAAACAGCTACGATCACACATTGCTCCTAGAAGCACGAAGCCGAAAACACCAGCCTGAAGATGACGAATGGGACTTCGTCGAAACATCAGCAAGACACTTCCAATTTTATGTGGGAGAAAACCAAAGATCTACATACAAATACCCGCGAAAACCTCAGAAAACATATATTTGCCTGTATCAGCGTTATCTCTGAGCTCCACAGCAACAGTGCAACTACTACAAGATTATTCTGATTAGTGACACATATCACCACATGTGATCTGGAATTGCAACCATTCAGGGTTGCCATAAGGAAGGAAAATGCAGCATTTCTCATGGTCAAGGAGCACATTTAGTCTTTACTCACCTTCTTTGAGGCAGGTTGTTCTTTGTAGGGTAAAAATAATAGCAAGTCTGTTGATATCAATGCAGGATTCTAAAGTTTTCAGTTAGTAACAACAGCACTGTTCACACACACACATACACAAATCTGGTTGTAACTAGCACATGGCACATAAATAAAGTGACTTTCCCAGCAAAAGGCATTATTATTAACCTCCTTTATCTAACACTTATGAGGCAAAGAATGTGATTTGCTCATTTCTGCAAAGAAATCTGTTCTTGGGGGTGGACCAAGAACATAGGACACAATAAACCTTGATTATAGTTTTCCAGGTTCTTGACATTTTTTACAAACAACTGCTGAAGGTTCAGATTGACTGCATCCCACACATTGAGTAATTACGTGGGAATACACCTTGAAAGAAAATTATTGGGTAATTAAACAAGGTTTGCCTCACATAAATCATTGAGAGATCTAGCTTAATACTGTCTAATGTGTGGCTAGTTTCATGCAGCTATTCCAATTATTTCCTTGAAAGGTAGGCATTGAACCTGGAACCATGATCCCCTGTCCCCTTTTTGGAGATCTACTATGTGAGATAACAAAGTTGTTTTCTCCATAAATATAAGCACCTACCACAGATGCTGATGCCGTTGTTTTTCTGAATTGATAAAGTTTTCATTGGACATTTGAGATTGCTCCCAACTGGACTTTATTTTGTTGAAATATTGAAACCCTGCAGAAAACGTTTTATTTGTTACTTTTTATATTCCATTTATGCACAAGGCATGTACAGAATAGTCATCAGTATCATTCCATTTTGGCTTTGCAATAACCCTTTTAGAGCCAAGTAGCTGGTAAAAGTTACCCAATGTGCCCTCTGGCCAAGTGGTTCTCTGAGGATGATTGTAGTCCAACACTCTAACTGTAGCACATGTTGAATTTCCTGTCAATTTCAGATGATACCAGGGGTTAGCTATGGTTGAAGACTGGTCTAGAGTTTACAGGTGTCTCTACTTTTAGAAACCCTGGAGTTCTTCAGACTCTTTCCAGCCTCTTTGTTCTCCTTTTAGTTAGAATACAATGGTGTGAATAATATCCTTTTTTAGAGAAGAAAGGATGTTGGTATTGAATCTTTAATTTCCTGTATGGCTGAATGGCATGAAATCCAAGCAACAAATCTACTATTCATTCAACACATGGAGACTCTATGACAATTTGATAGACCAGTTTACTCTAGTGGCTAAGAAACTAGGCTAGAAAGTGGGAGAATGTGAGTTCTAATCCTCCCTAAGGAGATCCATCTGGGTGACTTTGGGTCAATCACTCTCTCAGTCCAACCCAACTTACAGGATTGTTGTTGTGAGGAAATTAGGAGAAAAGGAATTGAATATGTTTGCTGTCTTGAGTTATTTGTAAAAATAATAAGGCAGGATGCAATAAATAAATGCTCACAGCAGTCTGGAGAAACTAGAATTTCTATGACATTTAAT